GCTGCCACCACAACAGCTGCCCTTGCCTCCAGTACCTACCCTGCCACCCCTTCAGTGCACTTGGTATTGTTCAAAGCATCTCTTTACTGCTTGTACAAGTACGCTTGTGTCATACAAGCGCGCGCTTGAAACGAACACGTTGAACCGCTACAACTGTTTGTGTGCATTGAAATGGCCGAGCCGTTAATTACCGCATCTGACCACACTCTGACGACAACAGTGCACCGAAGGACACTCTTAATCACTACAGCCTCGTGTTTTTCCCTAGCTCCTGCTTAGGCGACCTGCGCCCCCTGGCAGAATGACCTTTGAACAAGCGAATGGCTGTCTAAACTATACTGCGAGGCTGAGTGGTGCTAGAACAAAAGAGTGACCCACTGAGGCTGATGTTTTTTTTTGTATAGCACTCGCAACTCTTCTCGCTGATATTGCATGTCCACATTCATATTGCAGTCTTCGGGGCATCGTGCTGTGCGGACCATGATAAAGCACCTAGTGAAAGCCACCTTGCCATTTCGACGTCATGCATGTGGCGTTTAAAAAAACAGGGACGGCTATTCATCATCCCTGAGCATGCATAAATGACACGCTTCGTACGAACTTGCTGTACTGTAAGCGCTGAGCCGGCATGTTCTCGAGTAGGCCGCTTATTCCTGGTATTCCTGACCAGTGGGGGAGTAGGGCACGCTAAATGCGCGTGCAATGCAGTCTTCCAGTGGCCTCCGCATGATCAACGACGAGCGAAGAAGGTGCCTTATAACCTGGTAAAACGTAAGATGCGAAGTTCGCCTATTGCAGAACTGACTTCCTGTCAACTCAATAGCAGGTTTTCAACGAGATACCTCAGCCATTCCTTGGAGAGCGTCTGCTTTTTCCGACTAGTCAGGGATAAGAATTATCGGCGGGCTTCTTATAGGCATGACATTTGGAGCCTGTGCTATGAAGTTTTGAAGGCTAGGTCAGCTAGGCGAGCGGGTGACCGATTCATCACTACTTTTTAATAGCCTTGACGATTTCATTTTTTAAAGTACTGTAGTAATAAAGGTAAACCCGCGTAACTAATGCATTTAGATGTCTGATGCATGAAAGGTTCATATTGCGTTTAGGAGATTCGCTTTGCTCTTTCTGATTTTGCGGCAACAGTATTTTCAGTTTGCTCATTTTTCTGCTTTATCACGCTGACTTGGAAAGGAGCCTGAACTTACTTCCTTAAGGAAGTATATTACTAAGATAAGCAATTAGAAAAGCTCATTAATGTTTCATTTCTTCATTCAAAGCACATATTATAATTGTAATGTCTAAACCAAGCTAAACTAAAGTAGTGTTTGCGCAGGAGAATTACAAAGACTATAACATAACGTGGGAATCCTCCTCCATTTGAATGTAGTAGAAAATACATTGACTTTCCGGTTACCAGACTTTAAAAGAAGTTTCTATAGTAGCCCTGCAGGCAAGAACGGAAGGAGTGGCGTAAGGAGGAGACTTCGATCACTTTTGAATAATGTTCTTCCATGTATTATATATATTGTACAGTGCCACCACCACAAACACTCCAGTGCACTTGTTGATCATTACCTTCCTCCCTTTCCTCCCCTCTCTTCCTTCCATTCCATTTCCCAATTCAGCAGCAAAGGGTAGCAAGCCAGCCATGTGCTTGGTTAATATTCATGATTTCCCTCTTGTTTTCTTCTTCCCTTTTCAGTGTGTATGAACAGCAGGTACTCACGGATTAAAGCACGACATAAATTAATTATTTTTTAAAATTTAGTGGCTGGTATGAGCAATTGCTCAGGATAACTACATGTCGCAACTAATCTGATCTCTAAAGATAATGTTGGCTCTTATCTTCGCGTTCTAGTCTAAATAACGCCGATATGACACGAAGGGAAGATAGTGGTAACGAGAGGATGTGTGCCACCTAGCCCTAAATTGTCCTCTTGTAATCCGTGAATACATACATACATAAGTGGGTGGACGTTCCCCCCCCCCCCCTTCTCCTCTTTCTGGCTTTGCCTATGGCTGAACGAAAATGACGAACCCGGAAACACGTTTAGGAACTATTGCTAAGGAACATGTTTCTTGTTGCGGTAGTATAACAATTTCTACTAATTAGGCAGGCGAAAATTCATTGCTGCTCACTTTCACTGGATCGATCGATCGATCTATCAATCAATAGATCAATCAATCAATCAATAAAAAAAATTGTCAGTTATATAGCTTGAATACAGGCCTATAGAAGTAAAATACCATACTAAAAATTGTATAAATTTCAAAGTCAAATCATGATTTTTTCAACGACAAGGATATAAAACTCGAAAGTTTAATGACAGGTACTCATTAGTGGTTTCGTGAAAGAAAGGTCCTCCTCTTGAGCTAATGTACCTCAAGCAGGCCTCGTCGCACTATGTCCTCTGAAGATTATTTAGGTAGTCATTTACGCAGGCAGTCATTATTATCATCATCATGACTACGCCCACTCAAGGTCACAGGCCTGTTCCGAGCCTGTTTCGGGCACGTTATCCTCCCCAACTTTCTTAATCTCCTTTAACCCCCTAGCACTCTGCCTCTCCATAGTGCGTTTACTTCTGCTTGAAATCCAGCCTGTGACTCCTAATTACCAGCTTATCTCGTCTTCTAGAGACATGCCCGGCCCAGAGCATGTACCTAAGACCTCTCCTATACTTACACCGTGAAGGGATCAGAATAAAAATTTGGCACATTGAGCATTTAAAGTATGCTTTTGTGACGACGTGCTGCAAGGTTTCACGCTCAAAAATATTGTTTTACACGCGAAAAGTTTTTAAATGAACAATAACTACAGTGCAGAAATTTTTTTACTGCGCAGCAAGTCGTTCCGAATGTTAGGCTGGCTTCTATCCTGCCTGACATTTAATTTTGCGTATATTTCATTTTAGTATTATTCGTGAAATCACACATCGAAATATTTCGTCACTCTAAAATTCATGAAGGACACGCAGCCAGCAAAATCGCAGATTCATCAGGAAGCTGGCCCTTCGTGCTCTTCAGTAAGGACACGCATAGGCATTATCTAAGTGTGCTAAAGAGGCGTTAACTGATGCCCAAAATTTTTAGCCTAAATTTGCTGCAGAAAATAACCATATTGAGTTTGTGCATGTGAAATAATGGTTAAAAACTTCTACGACGAGAAGAATGTGATCCATCACAATTGATTTACTGGTACTTTAAACTGAAGAATTTACTGCTATTTTGTTGCGTAATTACATGTTTTATTACAATACCCTGTCATTACGAAGTCTGTAAAATATTGGAAAATGTATCACCAAGAGAAATTGCTGGAGAATGGCGTCTTCATACATATGAGGATTTATAAAGAAGTTTTCCTATGCACCCTGCTTATAGCACGCAAGGTACTAATCCTTCGCGGAGGAGGGTTCGTGCATTCATATCAATAATACTCCGGCGAAGCACTAGAAAAAGGGCAAGCAAGCCGGCCGTGCATTTCGACCGAATTGGTTTGCAGTGAAGACGAAATAAAAAGAAACCTTAAGGACCATTGTGGTTTCGTAGATCTAATAACATTTTCTATCTCAAGAAAACACTTTTTACCTAACATTTATTCAAATGGTTTTTGGTGTGTTCACAAAACAACAAAATTATCCTACTTACCAACCTATAGAGCCTTTAAAGCCACAATCTTACACTGTTCTTTGAAAAAAAAAAAGAATGGTTTCGTTTTTAATTGGCGTGCTTTGTTGTTCACTTTCAGGATGTAGAGTTTGTGTGCAGGCGGTGGAGTTCTGTGTGAACGCGGTGGACTTGCGGTGGTGTTCTACACGCTGCAGTGAATTCAGTGACTCGCTCTCTCTCTTTCTCCCTTTTTGCCTTTCCCTTATCTCCCCTCTTTCTCACATTTCTTGTCTCTTTTCCTAATCCCCCAGTGTAGGGTAGCCAACCGGAAGTCTTTCTGGTTAACCACTACGCCTCTTCCCTTTCTGTTTGCTTCCTTCTTGCTCTCTTGTTTCCTCACTATTTTTTCGGTGTTTATTGCTTGTTTTTGAACAAAACGAAGCTTGTGAAATTTCCCGTTAACTAATTACTTCTGATAGTGCTGAAGATAGACACAGTAGCAAAATAAAAACGGGGAGCTTAAGGTAAATTGATGAGCAATTAGAAAATACTGAAATTTTTATATTACATATATGAGTATGTTTCACAGTAGTGAGTGAAAACAAGATTTTCTAATTATTATCACGCACGAAGTAATGTAAAATACGTCCATGATATTAAAAGCCTTCCCTCTCCCTCCTTCTCCCATGGCTCAAAAAAAGACAGAGAAATACAAAAAAAACATTGAAAAATTATTTGAGACGTCGACATGAAATACCTGAATGTTTCTTTTTTGGAAGAATCAGAGTAGGCCGTGAAAACAAATGGCACACTTGGGATGGTATTACTCATACACGAGAGATATTTGAGGTATGGTAAACATGCTCAAATATGAAACATATGTAGGAGAAAAAGCAAACAAACGTTACCTACGTACTTCATCATTGTAAACTGCTCAGTCGGCCGGATGGAAAGTTTAAATTCCCGCCATCCTACTGCCTGAGTAGGAACATGCATTGAAACATCGTACTGAGTCGTAAAATTGTGGATTAGCGCGTACGGCACGTTAGCGGGGTGCATACCGGCAGTACGCGGATGCCTGTTGGCCGAAGGAGCCGCGGCGTGGAGAGGCGCCTGAGCGAGCGCGTGGCGGTGAGACAACCTCCTGGGCGGAATCCGCGAAAGCGTGGAAACCAACAACGCACAAAGCGGGTGCCGCTCGAAGGCGGAATGAAAACAAGGCAGAGAACAAGGAGCGCGTCGGTCGTTTTGGGAGCCTCGTGTGAGGGGAAGACGAGTCCCACTTGCATAATTCCCTCGCGGCAAGGCCCCCGTTTCTTGGGACAGCGTCATCCTTGGATGTCCGTCGACGGAGGGCAAGGAGGCGCCCTCGAACCGCGATGCCCTGGGCGAGTGGGACCAGGGCCCGGCAGCCGCCTATAAAAGCGGCCGTCGCCAGCGCAATGGCAGACAGCCGGAGCCAGCACACGGAAGAGTCAGCCGACCAGTGTGAGTACCGGCACGACATGGGATACCTTGTAGGCGCCGTCCACGCAGTGAGATCACACACAACCCCACGCTCACTACGCGGACTCCGAAGGCGCCCCGAGCCCCCGACGTGGGTCGCTTCCGCCGCCACCGCTGCCGCTATGCTCCACCACGGACTGCGGCTACGGCATGGGAATCTCACGCGGATACGGCCTTGCTTCGCTGCTCGATTGCCGCTGTAGTGGTGCCACCATAGAGTTATGCTGCTAAATTAACGCCTATCAGTGCTCGTCTCCTTACACTTCTAAATGAGGCAGTAATTTACCGCGCATATGACATATAGCCTGAAAAGGTGTGGCATAGCTGCTATAGCACCATATTCCGGAATGACAGGGGGCTTTTTGAAATATAACTATTGTTTTAATTGTTATAAGGTGAAGAAAGATATTCACAAGCGAAGATAAACGTTAAAATTTAGTTTTTCCTTGACGAGCTCCTTCAAGTTGCAAATATGTCAAAAGATACAGTTAGCTTGTGCTCATCACCTGTATATGCGCCTTGTTTTCCAATTACAAAACATGTCCATAAAACTATACTACTATTGCATCCGACAATCGATTGCGCACTGACAAGTTCTATGAGAGAATGTCCCTTCATAAGTATTCCTTCACAGGTCATTAATAGAAAAACACAGCATAACTTTTTTCTTGTGCGTCTTTTTCTTCTTAAGTGTAAAGTCTTGCTTTTACCGAAATTGTACGACTTACTAGACGATGGTCGCAGATTAAAAGCGTTGCCATTTACCTTTTAGTCACTTGCTTATGAACGTGTCAGTGCTCTCTCTCAATTTCTCAGTTTATCATGGTTTGGAGAAGCTTAGACAAGTATTAAGACGTACAGTGGATGGATATTCAGTGTTGGGTTCAATATCGATAATACGATCTGCGATTATTAAACTATGCGGTATTCTAAATGGTGTAGAATTAATAAAAAGCAATTTATACGATAGATGGACCATAAGAAACTGTAATACCGCTCTGATCCTCTCTCCCTTTGTAGTAGTTTCTGAACTGAAATTCAAATGTGGGGTTCAGTGCTGATATCTAATCTACATAGTTGTTATTTCTTTATCCAAGTAGGTGAAGATACTTCAGTATAAGCCTTATGAAGAACAAAATTCTAAATGCATAATTTGAATGACAGCTTTGGTTTCATAAAATTTTAACAAATCAGAGCTCTTAGCCACTGCAATATTCTACTGATAGAGTTATGATTGCTTGTATTACAATACCTCTCTAATGACGCAGCGTTTCTTGCAGAATTTGTGACCGGAACTACATACACCCCAATTAATCAAAGATGAAGCAGTACCTCGCTCTAGGTAAGTTGATGAAGCCACGCTAGCTTTGCATCACTTGCTTCAATGATGACTTTCTCTGTGATGTTGCCAGTTACCAACACCGGGCACATAGACCGAAAGTGTTGCGATGCTGGTGCTATTACAGCTGCCCCTTTCAATGGTTACGCTATATGAATGTATAACCAAAATTCGATTTTTTAACATAACGTTACAGTTGTGCGAGAACTGACAGATTTCGAAACTCCCTCAGCTTCAGGCGGTGTTGTACCGTCACAGTTTAATTACTTAAAACTAATTTTTTTCAGAGCATTTTCGATGGAGGCGAAAATGCTGTAGGCCCGTGTGCTCAGATTTGGGTGCACGTTAAAGAGCCCCAGGTGTGAGCCCTCTACTACGGCATCTCTCATAATCATATGGTGGTTTTGGCACGTAAAACCCCCCCATATCAATCAAACTTTTTTTTACAAAGAGGAGTCCATCACATCTTAGGCTCGTGTGTTTGTGTAGCACAGTGTTACCCATTCATGTTCGTGTGCATTTATCGAAGTCCACCAGCCCATATGGCTATGCGTGATTAAACATACGAATTAACACGTCTTAGTAATTGCGCAATCTAATCAAAGTTAATTTTACCGCGGCACTCAACCTGTTCAGTGTCTGTGCCCGTCGCCTTAACATTGAATGCCCTTAGCACTTATCTCTCTTTTTCTTCTCAATTTACCCTGCTTGTACTACCAGTGTACATGCCAGGTAATGTTTATAGTTAGCAACTGCGTACTACTCTGGTATAGTTCTTGTCATATATAAACTGAAAATTTGTCAAATCTCTACGCATGCCATCCCTTTCAACTATTTTTGTGCTTGTTGCAAATGCTCACGAGACAACCTTGTATCTACCAGGCCTCAAGGTAGATATAAAATATCACTCGTGGATGCTTTGTACGAGCCCAAAATTTCTGTTATTCTCAGCCTACTAAGAATTGAAACCATTGCCAGATCTACGGCGTAATTGGGGGTGACACCGCTCTTTGTGGCATTAGTGTAAGCAAAACAAGACGGTGAAAGTGATTATGATTATACAATTTCAACATTTCGTGTTCACAATGTGAACCACTCGTTGCTTTATTGTAAGATATAGTGAAGCCACACGTTATAAACATTTTCCACTCGACTAAGTGCAGTTTTTAAGGTAGAGACATAGAGGTGAAGTGATTGGACTAGCTGATCGTAATTATGCACACAGCAATATAGGTTTTCTGCCCACTTTCCTTGTTAGAGCCTTCAGCACGCCTACAATTTAAAATGGATAACGTATGCATACACAGCGTTCATTGCACATCCAGTCAAATACGTAAGTGTAAGTATTTTAGTCTCGCTTAATTCTGAACCACGTTTTCTACATTGAGAGTGACTGAAACGATGTCTGTATGCTTACGGCTACACAGGAGGCAGTACGTGCCACCGCTTTATAGTTGAAGGTTGTTCTCCTCAGGTGTCAGAACATACCATAGCAAAACCTCATTTCGATTGCGCGGCCAACAAGTCGGAAAATGATTTTCAATAGGTTGATGCATTTTTGCGAAACGCTCATTCTACTACATACAGGTTTCCATAGGCAGATATTAACGTCATAACTAGACGCTCCACTCTGTTTTAGGTTCTGCATTTTGTTTGCTTTGAAGGATATCATGCATTTGAAACACCGAGAAAAGAAAACTTGATTCTATATACATCCTAAATCGGAACTATTGACTTTAAACCACAGAGCATTCAGTTATCAAAAAACTTCTGGGCCTATGGCCAACTGGAGCTTTACAAACATGTGCTCCAAAAGTTTTAAAAGGTTTTCTAAAAGACAGTGAAATTGCTGCCAATTACCAAGAAATAAGTAATTCATGTTCACATCACAAATGCCATACTTGTTATATGCACTATTATATTATTTAACCATATGTGTTCGCTAAAGTGCATGTTGTGTGAACTGTCATGTTCACTTAAGCGAATCCCTGCCTATAAGGACCAGACATGTTGATTGCTATGTTGTGCCGGTTTGATTCAATGATGACTAGATATATAATCAGAAACATTATTCATTGTCTTTCGGACATTTCTTTATACGTTTGATGGTGATGTTAGATATGCACGGGTGTGTGTTTATATGTCTGCTCACGTGATTTATGTTCTATGTAAAACTCTTTGTTTTCTCTTAAGATTTATATTCAATATTCACTCGAGGGCTGAAGAGTGGCTGGTGCCTTGTGCGTGCGCCAACATCTCCTTCTATACAGTGATGATGATGATAATAATAATAATAATAATAATAATAATAATAATAATAATAATAATAATAATGCAACTCCGAGCCCTTGCTATACAAGCCATTCCTAGTGCTAGTTACCAAAAAAACAAAGAACATATCTTTGGTTAGTTAAAAGTGACGTCTTATGACGTCACCACTGTCTTAATGATGATACAAACACTTGTAAACGACTATGTACGCCAGCTCAAAATTTTGAGCTGCGAAGTTCAATGCAAGTCCAGTAAACAGTGAACCGAAGGTGCGGTGCGCTGATAATTGCCGATTCTGGGGGTTATTACGACGCCCTACGAAGGTGCGTGCCTACTCATTGGGAATATTGTAAGGAAAATGACATTACCAGAGCTTAGCATCCGCCACAATTTTGTTTATGAGGACGTTACGGAAACAAGACAGTGTCATATTTTGATATAGTGGCACATTGTCCCTGCTTGAAGTAAGCGACGAGAGGTCTGCATTGGGCAAGCTTACTCGAGCTGGTCGACATTCTTTGTGGCATTGATAACAGTGTCTTCTTTTACTGCAAGACTTTTAGAAAGACTCTGTGGCCACTGTCCATGACGTTTTTAGCCTAGAAAAGTCGCCACAGACTTGTCGATTTTTTTTTTGCGTCAAACAATGAATATGATGCGCTTGAGTGCAAGATTTACGATATGAGAATAAGTCCTCGGATGTGAAACTTTAAATTTCGGATTGTCCACAGAAATATCGCGGCGGTGATGCAGTCTACCTTGAAATCAAAAGAAAGTCAGGCATACAGCTGTTAACACTTTCTCAAGAGCGCTGAATGAATGTGTTAGATACCTTACAAGACAAAATAGATATATAGATTACACTAATTCGCGAAAAGGATGCTACCATATTAGCGTTTCGGGTAACCTATGCAAAGTTGTGTGCTCTGATTAATAATGTAACACAGTTATGTAAGTAATTTAGGTGCACCCTCAACTCAACCTATAAAGGCAGCTGAATATGGCATTTATTTATGCAACTAAGAGCACGAAGTATTCTTAAGATTGTTCTCAGAGTTCTGAAAACACAAACTTAGTGTCAAACACAATTGTCGCTGTCATCACGTCTGTTCTAGATACTTTTTTGGTCCCCTTTGAAAAATAAAATATTGTAAAGGAAGAAGGAAACTTCGCTCATCAGCTGTGCGGGACATAATGTTGTACCACGATGTGAGCGAGCACTACAGAACACCCAACTTCTCTGATAAGATGGTACAAGCGTCTTTTTGTCTTTCTCACACAGCCCTCACCCTCGTTGCCGTGGCTGTTGCGCTACCAAGGGTAAGACGACCTGTATTATACCTAGCAAAATCCCTCGCACGAACTGAAATGATCTTTGAAGCATTATTTGCAATAGCTTGAAATGAAAACTTTATGAAACAATTGAAATATAGCTGGAAAGTGTTACAAACCAGTTAGCTAAATAAAGTCAATGCAATAAAGTAAACGATAAAGTAAACGAGCACACTCATGCAAATATAGTCGGATGTATACTTGAGTGGACATAAAGAGTAAAATACCTGCTGCATGTATATTAAAGAACAAGTCACTTGCGTCACTAAGCATCTGTTCACTTATGCAGGTTGAATAGTGTTAGAAAATGACGTACACGTTCGTGCTTTCACTCGCACACATCACACATTTGTACATTCTTTTACACAAAAAATTTTCAAGTAAAGAAGGGACAAATTACATTTAAAGAAAAAGCAAAACGTGAGAACCGTATCAGCAAGGCACATTCCCAAGAAACACTCCCAGAGTGTCTCGTCAAACGTAAAGACACCATCACTTGCGAAGGCCTATGTGAAAAGAAACGTCGCATCGGACAGGTCGGCCCAATTTGTAGGGCACACTGTGTGAACGAAAGTGAAGGAGGAAAGAGGGGGAGAGAGAACCGAAGCGATGTTCCTTGGGCCTACGTGAGTATCTGTCAGTTGCTGTCATCACCGTGGTTTGATGGCCTCCTCGGACGTCTCCGGAAGTGATTAGCCGTCTTCTCGGAACGATGACAGTGGGTGGGGCACCGCTAGATTACATCGTGCGCTCTTACATTTGGAGAATCTTGCGCCTAGCCCCTTCGATCGTTGCACCGCCGCTGGCTTGCGGGTAGAAACTGAGGTTACTGCGACTGCTTGCGAAAAGGCATGAGCAGGTCTTCAGAACGCTCTTCTTGAGTACTGCGCCTCGTAGCAGAGGGCAACCGCACTTCACGGAACATGAAATTTTACCTAGCGTCTCGGGTGACGTTCCTTACCATAGAAGGCAATTGAGGCTTAATAAAAATGCAGGCTCATAAGCTAGTTGCAGTTTGTAGACGCTAAAAGATGTAGTAAGACTACACCCCCATTCATAACCATAAGTAACGAAAGAAATGTTGTTCTCTTTGGCGTCTCCTCGCGCTGTAAGTAGTAAAGTCACGATAGTGTCACCTACTTCAGCGTGCACAAAAAGTGAAAGCAGATTACAAATAAGTATGTAAAGCAGGACAACATGATGGTCAAAAGCATAAGTAATCTGTTCGTTTTTGACAGTATATCGTCGTTGAAAAAATAAAACATGCACAGCGCTTGCACACTGCTTACTAGCACAAAAAGGAGCGTCGTCGACGTCCGTTATTGACACCTCAATGAACGCATCGTGTCGAAACTATATCGTACGAAACTATCTAATTAGACCTCTTTCACTCAGTGGCCCCGCCGAGCTTGTCCACCCTTCAACCTCGCGTCACATGGCGGAGGCTCAGGAAACACGGCTTCATAACTTAATACATGGCAATGCATCACGGCCACGTGGATCAAGATGTGTTCATTCTCTTGCTCGTTAGTATTTCGCAGGCGAAAAGTGTTTGATGCTTATATCTGGGGTGACGGAAAATAACTTTTAATGAAAGCACCACCTTTAACTGCTCTTGGAGGAATTAAGTCTGTCATTCACTTTTTCTCGGGTTACTGAACATCTTAAATACTACAACACCCGTTTAGTTGCATAAAGTTGATTTCTTCTTTTTTGTGCAAGGCTTCTTCATTATTCTAAAGCATTACATTTGCGATAGACCTCTACTAAAGTGATTTACTGTTCGAGAGCTTTGCAACCTGCAACACTACCACAACATTACAGCCAGACAAATATAGCGTTGTTGTGGACCGGTAAAAAACAAAAACAAAATAGATCTGTAATATTCAGAACTGTTTAGTTTCACTTCATGAGATTACCGATATTCGTTAGATCATGCTATAACTATAATAAAAATATTGAAAATAAGCTAACACTGCAATGATTTTTTACGTTAATCAAGGGTGCGAAGAAAGCAGCTTATACGGAAAACAAAGGCATTGCAGTGTGCATAAATAGATCTGGACTAGTTTTGAAGAGCAGCACCTTAACACCAGGCCTTCTCATAAAATGCCATGCTAAAGCGGCATAACTTCGCAATAATAGATGAAGAAACTTTTTGGTGCAAACTGAACGAAGACAAATAACACAAAATAACACGATGGTAGCTCAGTTGTCCTAGTTCAGTCTGAGCCGAAAAAGTTTCCCCAGCTATGAAAAAGTAATAACTAGCTGTAACCAGGATTCTACCTCGCAATCTTGTCTGGCGAGCTTCGAAAACCAGCCGAGATGTGGTTCCCCAATTCTGTTAATAAATGGGCAATACAGAAAGGCATGTTCTCCTTAATGCATTCATACGGAAAATAAGTTAAGTAATCATGTTATGTCTGTTGGCGTAACACTCACCACAGCAACTTCACTTTTGCCCATACATATATACGTATTATGTCCTAGCGACTGCCCTTGAAGGCACTCTTTGCGTCATCCTACGTGCGACATGATGCGAGTGTTCTGGCATCTTCTTCGGAGCTCCTTACGTTCGCCTACGCACATGGAGCGTTGTGAAAGCCCACACGAGCGTATATTGATTAGTGCATGCGGAGTCGACAGAAATAAGTAATGCGGACTCCCCACGCAGCACGTCCTACAGTGACACATTTTCTTACAACGCGCTTTTTCTGAGCAGTGGGGCATGAACTCTGGTTACATTGTCTTCCATATTCCATGCACACCGCGGAACTAATCAGTAAAACTATTGGGCATGAAAATAGGCTGCTATACAAAAGCATGCTCGTGTACATTCAAACAATTCTCCACTCGCTCAAGATACATGTAGTACAGTGCTCGGTGAGAGCTCCGCGCGCCTTAAAAAATATTACAATTTTGCGGCACGCTTATATTGTCAGACGCTACATGTACCTTCGAGTGGACGTGGTTTATGTAAAAAAAATGGACAACTTTTTTTCAGCTTCATTTTTCGCAGTGAGATGCTGGTCAATTTTTCTGAGGACATTTTCTTGATCAGAGCATAGCGCACTGATGTGGTTGATGGATCATTTAAGAGAGGCCAGTGTCTTTCAAATATGACTGCTGGAGGCGACAGACTAAAATTCTTCAGCATTCGCCTCGCGAAACAACTAGACGAGCAATAGTTTGAAACACAGATCTTCCCACATAAAAAAAAAGACAATCCACACTTTACTCCAGGCCGCGGAAATTTTTCGCTATCGTTCGAGTTTTCTTGACAAATGAATAAAAAAAATCTTATATATTCTTGCCTATAACAAGAGAAGTTCATACAGAAAGTATATGTGTAATGCGTATTGATATGACCATATCTATGCCCAGATATAGACTATGTAAAGTAGACCACATGTCCGTTGCTGTGTATACCACAACCAGCATAGAGGTAGCTGTGGTCTGTAGCATCATGGTCGAACGTTCAAAAAATTCTTGTTCTTCCCTTTTTTTCTTCTGTCATCGCAGTCTAAACGGGCAGCCTACGAGCTGCCGGATGGAGTAGAGTTCCTCGTCGGATCCGTGAAGACCTCCTTTACATGTCCCGCCAAGAACGGCTACTTCGCGGACGTGGACAACGCCTGCCAGATCTTCCACGTGTGTAACGTTGTGCCCAAGGAAGACGGCAGCACAGAGGTGCAGCAGTACAGCTTCCTGTGCGGCAACCAGACTGTGTTCAATCAGTTTTCGCTGACCTGCGCGCTGCCCGAAGATGCCATCCCATGCGGAAGCTCGGCCGACTTCTTCTACCTCAACGACAGGATCGGCCAGGAGAAGGTGAACTTGCACGATGACGCCGACTTGCAACGGGCTGTCCAGATCATCCCGCGGTACCAGCAAGCACCATTCAAGGCTTGAAGTCCACCGCCACCACCGCCACGTTCACGCGAACGCGACACCGTACCGTAGCCAGTTCGAATCGAGCCCGTGACCGTGGGGATGAAGAACCGTGACCAAACCAAGACGCAAAAGAACTCGCGCACACGTCCACCGTGTGCTCGCTGTTCTTTTTCTTTTCTTACTATTGCGTCTCCTTGTGGCATGTGATGTTCTATATTGGAGCAAAATGCCACATACGTGAATGAGCCATCCAACATACAGTAGCTCGTACCACAACATGCCAGCATCAATTATTAGAAGGCCGAAAAAACTGTCATCATTGTTCTCTACATCGCTTCATGAAGAAACATAAGAACTGACGTTGGAACACAAATGTGGAGGGAGGGGGCGAGAAAAGCTAAGTAAAAAAAAGCAAACAAAAAGAACCTAATGAACGTCGCTTCCTCATTTATAAAGTAGGTACTGGAGCAACGTATTAAGTCCGTCACAGAGGATCGCTTGACGATGATGACGTGGAAGTTGTACACCACCGCTCGCTTGTATTTCAGCTAGGCTCACCACATTGTCGCATTCGTGTCGACGCTGCCAACGAGATACGGAGATCCCGCTATCTTTCAGCGCCTTGCGCACGTCCCTTGCTTTGGGTTGTACAGTCATAGATGTCCTGGGATAGAACACCAAGAGTGTTCTCTTACGGCTACCCACTACTTTCGAGCTCGTCTAAGCGGTTTTGGCTTTCCTTGTGATTTTGGGTGTAGGTCTGCTGCGCAATCCGCCGGGTAGGAGAACAGTGCCTAAAGTCACGTGATGTTGCCGCTATTGGTCCCATGCTCTTAGTCATTAGCCATGTAGCTAGCGTCTTCGCTTCTCTGCAGGCGTCTGTGAGCTTGTATGTACAAAATGGAACTGAAAAAAAAAAAAAAGATTATAGCATTCCTGCTTGCTTGGTGGCTGTATTACTTCCCGTGGGTAATTTAGCGAATAATTTCTTCATCTTGCCAATGAAATCCTTGAAACCCTAATGTCCGATGTACCAGAAGTGTCCGGTGCTACAATATTTTGTTGCTTTTTCAAGAGTGTTTTCCTGTATGCGTTAACGCATAATGTACAAAATGCCAAATGCTTTGTGTGACACCTTGAATATTCTGCGTGATGGTGAAATCATGGTCTCATACGCTTCGCACGAATAAAATACATTGTTGGTCGTTACTCTGGGTCCTGTATTGTTTTATAGGTGACTAGAATTACTGAACTTGCAGCATTACTGACCTGTATATAGTCACACCACGAGGTTACCTTTGTCGCGGTGCAACGCAACTTACAATTTTAGCTTTTCATGATACACATGTAATGGCTTCACGGCATAGTAGTTGTTCATGAGGTGAAACCACCACCATGTAACAGTACAGCACTTTTCGAAGAGCAATGGTACGATGTTTGTAATATAGACCACTTAATTTCCAACAAGGATTGCTAAGCGCTTCAAAAATTTGAAAACCAACTTTATGAAAATACAAATGTCTATTTCAACAATTGGAGACTATCGCACAATTCTGTAAACTGCTCCCGTAGCTGTTAATATCTCTAAAGCGGCAATACATCCGCGCTAATAATACATATAAAGTGAACAATGTTGATATATTGCGCACTTCTACGAAACGTTCGAGTAATTTAGGAGTGCGATCTTTTTGCAAAAACTATTTAGCTATAGTAGCTGCTTCACGCAAGCTTTGAATTCATACATAAACTATTTTTTGCTTTAGTTGCTCCAATGCATGGAGCTTTCAGTACTTGTCAGCCGCGGTGGAGAAGTGATTATGGGGCTCGGCTGCTGACTTGAAGGTCACGGGTTCGATTCGGGTCATGATGGTCCCATTTAAATGAAGGTGAAATGGTACAGGCCCGTGTACCGTGCCATGTCAGAGCACGCCAAAGAACTCCAGATGGTCTAAACTTCCCGAGCTCTCTACTGCAGCATCTCTCATAATCATATCGTCGTTTTGGTACGTAATACCTCCGATATAATGAGCTTTCAAGACTTGATACCTGCTTTTAATACAGTTCAACGGATATTCAGATTTAGTGCTTTCACGTATTCTTAAACGTCTTGAAATTACGGAAGTGTTTTAATGATTTCGAAACCGTTAATCAAAATCACGCATCTACAAATTTCCGGCACAGAGCTTTCTCTCTCAAGCTAAACAAACCTCACAGCTAGGTCTCTCTGTAATCTCAAAAACTCACATAGTCACTTATACATTTGCCTAAGACGACTCGGAGGTGAAATACATATTTTTATTATCTTCTTGTAGGTCCATTGTATCATACTTTCCCTCCTCCTTACCTTTACTTTCCATTACCACACCATGCGATGATATACTCTGCCAGACTGTGCTATGATTTACCCTCTCCCATCCTTCTTTTCTTCCTCCTCACCCTGACAATGCTGCACTCACCCTCACTTCCTGTTACCATCTCTTGCTACGCTATGCTATACATGGCTATGCAATGATTCACGCTGTCCCCCCTCCTTTCTCGTCACCCCAAATTCATGTTACTCCTTCTCAACCTATCTTTTCTTTCTCCCCACCGTGTTATACTATGCAATTCTATGCTATGATTTTACTCTTTCTCCTCCTTCTTTCCCTACTCCTCATCCTCCCTACCCCTTCACACCCATAGTTATAATATATTGTACGCGTTTATGCTAGAATCCACCCTCTCTTCTTTTTCTTCTCCTCCTGCTAACCCTCAAGCTATTTTTCCTCAGTCTCACTTCTCTTTCCAATCACCTTGCTAAGCTGTGCCATTCAAGGCTAGGCTGGGCTTTACCCTCTGCCCTCGACCCACCTCGGTGGAGTCGGACTTGATTACTTACCCGAAAATCAGCACTCGAGCACCCTGACCATGACACCAACGAGGCGAAAATACTTGAGGCCCACGTACTTATATTCAGGTGCCCGTTAAAGAACCCCTGCGGGTGGTTAAAAATTCCGGACCCCCCCCCCCCCCCCTCCTTTCCGTTATACCTCATTATCACATAATAGTTTTGAGACATTAAACCCAAACAATTATTATACGCTTGCCTGTTCTTTCATTCCTCCTCACCCTCACTTTCCTTTCCCACCACCTTGAAGTACTGTCCCATACATGGTTTTGCTATACTAAGAGCTTCTAGGCGAATAGCTGTTTGCTGTGGTGCCTACCCACCGAAATTTCTGCGGACATCGATGGTCTTACCTCAGGGTAAACAGGTGCACTGTTGAAAATTTCACCCTGAATCAATATCGTAGTTAAGAAAATTCCACTCAATGCTCGTTCATTTATCAAAGGAAGTGGACGCAGTGGTTTCCGAGAACGGTGTCTTGGTTATCCTGTAGGTCTCTTTGGGCACTAACACACACCGCGCGAACGACGTGAAGTAAGTCATTTACTTTTCTTTTTGATCGTGTATTGAAAAAGCTCTCAGTAAGTATAGATACACGCTGAAAACACAACTACGCCTGGCGCTAGAGTTAAGTAACTTCGAATCCGGCCGCACGTGCTCCTTGTGGAGGCAAAAATGATCTGTTGTGAAGACAAAAATAAACATCAATGGAGGCAAACATCGACTCCATCTATGCAATTAAATTGATGCCCGTTTTAGAATAGGAGTCTCTTCGAAGCTGAAAGTTGTAACCTCAGAAGGGGAATAGATCAAGGGCTCGTATTCTTTGATAGACACACGCCAGCAATCCCACAACAGGCCATGAAGCCAAAGTAAGTGTAGGAGGCAGTGTTTGTATAGTCTTTTAACTGTGGTGCAGTAATGTATAAAACAAAAAAAAAATTGGCTCATGAGTTTACAGGAAATCCAAAGAGAAACACCGATACTGATGTTTTAACATTAGCTTTGTTACACCCAGCCAAACGTTAATTCCATAAGGTGAAGCTCTTCGTTGAAAAATTGATCGATAATTTCAGCATGCAAAATCGGATCGGTTATTTGCACCCTTCAACGGATGTTCGCGGTATCAACTCAGCCCACCTTTCAATTATCCTTTTGGTGGCCATTAAGGACGCAATAAAGTCAGATATATGAACGGTGTTTTTTTTATCCAACGTAAAAATTAGTTATGTTCGCCACATAATGCATGGATTCATACGTAGACCATACAAATGCAGGAAATGCATGAAGCTTGAACTCGTGAGATATTTGAGTATAAGTGCAATGTTGTGCTGCTTGTGATTTTAGTCTCACTTCACTGAGAATGGCCACACCACCGCTAGATGCCTCGAACCCATGGATCACGTCAAGTAAGAGATCTCTTCTAATTTTAAAATAACCGTAGTAATGTTCATTGTGATAACCCCTTCATATCACCAAGAGGCTGCTGACGCAAGTATGTGACGTATTCTCCAGAAACACTTGGTGAACGTCGTCGGCGTTCACAAGGCCCACCGCATATTCGATAACAAGACATGGTGATTGATTATCGTCACACCTTTACGGCAGCATGCCAACTTAAGTTGATGCCCAGGACAAAAAAGCTGTGAAGAATGCGACTGGTGACTTTTCGCTACTTTTTCATTCTTCTTTTGCTCTTTTTTTCTGCATCATATTTAAGGCTTCGTGTCAACAGAAAGGAGTTCCAGGTGACCGGCGTTTGGCGGGAGTTTTGCCAACCCAAAAATCGGAAGACTGACGAGACGTTGAGAACTGGGGTGCTATGCAGGCTGGATTGGCCGAGTTTCGCCCAAGTTTCGCGAAACTCGAGATCTTTTCGAGCTCTGGCGACACCCCCTTTTGCATGAGCCAACAGTATGAAAACGTCAAATCCATCCCTCAGCGTGCTGCATTTTATTGGTAACGGTAGAACGAGTTATAGCGCGAAGGACGGTCGCCGAAGTTCGGCGGTGTTTTAAACCAGAGGTATTTTTTTTTTCATTTCTTTGTCGTTTCACTGAGTGCAGAAGTACACCCACGCATGCAATAAGTGTGTTAGAAGCTTTCCGTGATGACAGTTTTTAGACGCACAAGGTGTTTAAATTTATTTCAAAACTTTTATTGCCTGCACTAAGTCAGTTTTAGAATAATCAGCATGGTGATCTCTGGGATTTGTACCAGCCGAGTGTGTTACAACATCGTGACCACAGATAAACCCGAGGCCACGCGTTAATCGTCATAGTCAGCTTATAAATTCTATCGTGCTGGTCAGTCAGTGCGTGTCATCTTCGTTGACAGAATCCGCTGGCACACGAGCACGTGCAACTGGCTAATTAAGTATGTCACTAGACGGTATACTTGGCTAGTTATGACAGGACATGCTATGACCAAGCTAATTACGCCAAGTCATAGTGATGGTAAGGCCGCGGTAGGGACGTACCCAGGGAATCTCAAAGCTGCCACATGCCCCCCCACCCCCCCAAACTTTTTTCGCCATGGCCTAGAGATAAAAAGGACAATTTCCCGGGGATGTCCGTCCCGTAATCAAGGAAGAGCCCCCCCCCCCCCCCCTCCGAAAAATATTTCTGGCTGCGCGCCGGTGTCGGTGTAATTACACCACATCTTAAGAAGACCACGTTAATCAAGCCATGTAAAGCTAGAACCGGGCCAACTAAAGCATGCTAGCCAATGATATGACTAAACCTTGCTAATTAACATGACGTTAATGACGACATACTAAGTAAAGCTATGCTAATTAGCCCTTAATAATAAGATGACAATTGACATCGTGCTAATAAGTAATACGTTTAATAGCTCCATACTGATCATGATCTTGCTAATTGGGCTCGAGGTAATTGACCTTTAATTGAAACCTTATAAATGAAGACAAAGCAACTCAGTGTTATAGTCATTAAGGTTTAGTCAATTAGTACAATAAATTAAGACAGAGCTTATGCTATCTTCACTTTAAGCTGACCAAACACATGAGTAGAGGAAGAGATTAGGAAGCTACAAGACGCTAGGTTATACCAAGCTTTTCCATGGCTCCAGCCTTGCACAAGCAGTGCAAACTCACCAAATTATTCTATATGCAAAGAAGCGGCCGCTTAGCATTCACCGCATCAAACGCTTGATTATCACACCGGCTCCATGGCAGTCACGAGTTGAACGGGGGTCTTCTCAGAATCAACGAGTTTGTATCCGTGTTCACGCGTCAATCAATTTGATTCACAGATGCCCTTCGTGAAAATTGGGTACGCCCACCACGTTTGCTCTTGCCGAG